GATATCGGCAATACTTTTGCCAATCTTTTCTGCTCGAAGCCCCCTTTATTCTTTCTGGAGCAGGTAGTCTCTTCGCCTCACGAAAGACTTTGTAGATGTGGGCGATGTCTTCAGTGAGGGGAGTCTATTCTGCATATCGCGGGAATGATTGCCTGTCCCCACGGGAAGGGTTGCCTGTCCTGTAGGTATCTGTTCTCTATCTTTTTTGGAACCTGTTGTGATCCCTATCATTGCGATCTTGGCCTCCGCGCTTGTCTGATAGGCGATCTTGTTGCCTATCCGAGACCCCTTGCATCGAACTTCTGGCCAATGCTACTAGCGAGCTTTCTACCCACTGGTGTTTTGCAGCCATTTGGTAGAATTTGGCTAGGCTCACGTGATCTTCACTTTGGAGCTCCTATCATAGCTCTGTATTCAGTCTGACCCTTGCAATTAGCAAAGTTCGGATGGACTCTTCGAGTGCATCCGCAACCTTTGCTTGTTCATTCTGGAACCTCGTTAGGTACGAGGTTAGTGTTTCATCTCTCTCCTGACAAATGTTGCTCAAGTAGCTGAGTGACATCGCGAACTGTCTCCTCACTTGGAATTACTGTAAGTACAGTGAGAAGAATTGTTGCCAGGAGTTGATGGAGTTCGCCTTAAGCCTCTTATACCATCTCTTAGCATCCCCTACCAATGTGACTACGAAGCATCGACATTTCGCTAAGTCACAGACCTGGTGTAGCTTTATTAGGTCATTGAAATTGTCAAGGTGGTCTCTGGGGTCCACTCTCCCATCGAACTTGCTCCCCGGCGCCCTAAACCCTTGTGGAAGTGGGAACTTACTATTTCCTTTGCCGTGCCATTCTCGCGGGCTTTTAGATCGTCGAGCATTTTCTACACGCGATCTAAGTCTTCATCATGGTTGCCTTAGTTGGCTTTATTCAGCCTCACTTCGAGCAAATGAGTTTGCAAGTCTGTCACTTGCGAAGTCCCTCAAGTATACGCATTGATGCGCGAGGTCGAGTCATGATGGGTAGGCTAATAAGTGCTATCATGCTCGTCAGTGCATTGCACGCGACGTTGGTTATAACTGGAACGTCGATCGTTGCTAGAGTGACACACGTGGCTCGTCTTGAGAGCTTGTAAAGATCGATCTTGTTTGGGGCATGGGTTAATACCGGCATGCTGACACTGGGGATATCGCCGAGCATCTCAAGGGTGTCCGTTACTTTCGCTTTCCCCCAGTGGTTGCTTCCCTGGTCGCCTCCAAGGGTTAGTTTGCCCGCGGGACTCACGCTCATAAGTGGAGTGCAGTTTGTGATGTCGGGGGCATTGGTCGCCTCTTGGCGCCAATGAAACAGACCGCCAACCTGCAAAATTCATACCTGTTGGGGTGACGTTGGTGAAACATGGCTAGTTGAGGTTTTGGGCAATTGGTTGCTGGTTTTTCAACTCAGCTACGTTTTGTTGCACTGCTTGTGCAACCATTGTTCTGATCATCTCCACCAGTTGGCCGTTCTCGAGGTTTGACCTCTTTGCCCCCTAGTTATTCGTGACGTGTTGAGTTGGTAGCATAGGTGGTTGGCATCCAATGACGTCCTGTTGCACCTCTTGGTGGGTGGCTTCAACATTTTCAAGGTTCTCGGCAGTGGTCTTTGATCTTGTGTGCACCATTGTGGGCCTGGATTGGGTAGGTTGTTGTGACTGTTTGTCGGAATTCCTGAGATGTTGGCAAATACCCTTCCTTCTAGTGCCAAAATGTTGATACGAAAATCTACACGAACTAGGGTGATCAGATCGACCTTGGCAGGATCAGAACTGATGTGTGCGTGATTACGGATAATCAGCGATGGATGAATTATAAATGCAATAAAACAAATGGCAGAGAGATTTTTAAATTGGTTCAGTGAGATAAACTCTTGAGCCTACGTCCATTGTTCTTGTATTTGTTATGAGATCTTACAATAAGAATTCTATCGAAATTTTGTAACCCTTTTTTCATCATTCGAGGGGGTTTATATACAAGGTTTGTACAAAGGAAAGAGCGAAAATAAAGGGATCACAATTGATCTGAACTGCAAATCTGATATTCTTGAGATTGGGCGCTGTGATTGCGCAGAGATTGCTGTTGATCTAGTCATTCCCGTAATATCTAGGATCTGAAATTATCTGGGAATTGATTGAATGATCATTCGAGTTGTTCGCGACTAGCTTGTGCTGGGTCGAGCTATATGTCGATGAGCTTATGCTGGGTTGGACAATCGTCATAGTCGAGCTGATTATGGTTGAGCTACATCCTCGCAGTAGCTTGAGCTTGGTGGAAAAATCACACACAACACCTTGTAAATTGACTGAAAAGTGACACTGAAGGATGTTTAAGATGTCGGAGAATGATAGTGAGGGCAAAATATTCCACTACTTTGGGTAGCCATGGACAATTGCATCTATTTGGGCAGGGATGATTTTAGTATTCTCCGGTCACAATTAACCTGCTATTCTCATTATAAAATTAAATATAAAATTTATTTATTTATGATATACAATTAATATATTATTATACGTAATAGTATAATACTAACTAAGTTAAAATAAAAATAATTATAAATAGTATTAATATTTATTGAATAAAAATGACTAAAATATTCTATCATTTTATTAGAAAAAAAACTAAATAAAAATTAATATAACCACATCCTATTAATTGAGGAATGGAATGGGTTGAGGGAAGCCCTCCCCATGTGAGAATGCTCATTGCTATTGGTGTGTAAACATTTATTTGATGTATAACATAAATGTTGATTTTGTTTGTAGTGAAAACCCAGTAATAAATTGCTTTTATGGAGCTTGTAAAAGAGGAACATTTATCTTGGGGAAATGACCCCATAAATACATTTTTACTATATTTAAAATAAAATTCTCTTTAAATCCCATTTAATACCAAACTATCACTATTTAACTAGGGTTTATTTGTGCTAATTTTCCTCAATTTCAATGTAATTAGGGTTTTTGTTACACCACTTCTCCCCAATTTCAAACTTATTAGGGTTTTGTTTATACCATTTTTCTCGAATTTCTTCATTAGGTGTTTTTTTATAACATTTTTTTTTCCTATTTTCAAATTCGAAATTTACTTTTTTTTCTTCAAATTCATATTTATCCCGTTGTGTGATTATTTTCTTTATAACTTTAGTATATATTTTTATCAAGCCAAAAAAAAAAAAAAAAAAAAAAAAAAAAAAAAAAAAATTGAAATAGAAAAATGTTTCAGTGATATAAAAGATTTAAAGTTAGGGTTTATGATTAAGAATTAAAATAAAATTTAAATAGAAAAAAATAAAATAGAGTATGATTACATTTACAAATTATTATTGTTGAAGTGCAAAATAGAATACAAATAATATGTTTCCTTAATTGTGAAACAATATTATGTTTCTTTATTCTAGGAGATTTTATATATTATTACAATATTATATTTCCTTATTCTAAGTGATTTTAGATATTATTACACTATTATGTTTTCTTATTATATAGCTTAATTTTTGTATAAATAGGCAATGTTGAGTTAATTATAATAAATTCAACAATAATTTAATTCATTAAATTATCTCCTTAAGTCTCCTTTGCTCATAATTTCGACATAGACATAGTATTAGAGCTTCATTTAGTTAGCCTCTCTTTTCTGTCCTTGCAATTCAAACAGATACTCGGTTAGATTTTCCAATGACAAACAACCAAAGCTCAAACTTTGACATAATCACCAACATTTGCATCTTTTACGATAGACCACAAGCTTGAGGAAGCATGTTAAAGTGCAAAAGGGAATGCAAATAATATGTTTCCTTAATTCTGAAATAATATTATGTTTCCTTATCTAGGAGATTTTAGATATTATTACAATATTATGTTTCCTTATTCTAAGAGATTTTAGATATTATTATAATATTATGTTTCCTTATTTTAAAAGATTTTAGATAGTATTATAAAATTATGTTTTCTTATTATATAGCTTAATTTTTGTATAAATATGCAATGTTGATTCAGTTATAATCAATTCAATAACAATTGAATTCACTAAATTATCTCCTTAAGTTTCTTTTGCTCATAATTATGACAATTATGTCATTTTTTAATTAATCTTATTAAGGTTAAAATTATTAAAATAAAAATGCATTTAAAAGTGGAGGATATTAATCAATTTGATAGGAGCTTAAAATCACTTTCCCTTTATCTTCGCAGATTAGAGAGGTGTTACAATTGGCCCAAACCCAAATACTTGGATTGCGATGCAAAATTTAATATTTAGAAGCCATCAAAGCCCCACTTCTCAAATGCCTGAATTCAAAAGTTATCTATAACGATTTCAATACCTTCTTTCAATCTCTTCCCCAAGAAATGCAACACTCCGCTGCTGGTATTCCAGGTTCTAATTTCGACAAAGGGTTATATCCCAAGTCAAGGCTTATTCAAGTCAATTTGGTAAGACAAGAAGTTTTCATAGACATTAACATTTTTGCATTTATTAGTTTCATGCTAAGCCCTGCAAATCCTTTTTGACAGAAAGATCAACTGGAGTCCTTCAACTTGCCATATTATGGTAGCTCTTACAGCCTTGAGGCTTGAGGGAATGCGGCCATTTATTGACAGAAAGAAACGTTTGTTAATTAACTCAAATCCACTTCTATTGACTTCACACCTGAACAATTGTCCTGAAACTACAAAATGTAACTGACCAATTTCTAGAATCCACTTACCTTTTTAACCTGATAGTATATTTTAGTCTCAACAAACACAAAACAATCATATGAGAACAAGGTGCCATGAACTTAGAAGGATGAAATCATGTACTTTTTACAGCAATCCAGTTCAGTTTCAATCTTGATTATGAAACATTTATACTTCATAATACAGAAACACTTATAACAGAGTACAGTTGTTAGTCCGACTGTTCCCACAAATATATACAAGATACCATGCATATTTATAAGCATTGTAAAAGAAAACAATACAAGCATAATTTCTCAATGCAAAAGCAATCCATGACTGAGCGAGTGCTGAAGAGATGACAGGCTTAGAGCATTTCTGAGACTTGTTTTGTCCCTCTTGATCTCTATCAGCTTGTCATAAACACACCACGCAAAGCTAAGAAAATGTTGCCGATTCAGGCCTACATTATAGCTGCCCCAATAGTTAGGATGATATGTGACATGGTACCAAGCCGATGCTTTTGCATACACATCATCTTCAAAATCAGACCCACTTCCCTTCTCATTGAACCAGGCTCTAGCTTCTTTCCTCAAGGCCCTTACTGCCATACCAATTGCTTCTGCATCTCTTCTCTTTGTGAAAGATTTGGACATTTTCAGGATACCACCACTGAGTATTTCGGCTTCAGTTCTGATGCCATAGTAATCCATCAAATTCCCTAGTTTGTAGTCATAATTGCTTTTGTAATAGAAAGCATCTTCAATGTGATCCTCAAATCCATCAACTTCCATGTCACGGTCATAAGACCTTCTGCCTACTTCCTCAGTGAACGACTTAATAGGGCTTGTATCTGGTGCTATGTCCCTCACCTCTCGGAAGAGCTTTCCTATCACATTGCGTGACTCGTAGGTGGGTTTTTCTAGTTTTTCCATGAAATCAGGATATTCTTTGACATGTAAATGAGGTGGTATTTCAGCAGGAACACCAGTTTCTGGAAAGTCATCCACAATAGAGAAATTTTTCGCTAGTTCTATGCATGGGTTGCTCATTGCTTTGTCAGGCTCCTTATAGTTGGTGAAATACTCCTGAACTTCCTGCACGGCAGAAATTATGTCCAGTTGTGTACTTGTGCGGCAGGAGAAAGAGGAGTAAAGGAAAAAGTTAGATGCATGTATAAATGCATCCCAGTCATCATTTGCTTTCAAGGATTTCCAACTGTCAGATATCTTTTTGGCAGTATACAGCACATAGCATGAGGCAATGAAAGCTAGAAGAATCATGACTTTGGTCATATGCAAATTGGATAAAAGAAAATCACAAAATTTTTGAATACTTCAGGGTCTAAAAGAATAATACATCGATTGTAACATCATGATCTAACTGAATACTTGGTTATGGGGTGCAATCCATCGGTGAGATTTGCTATTGCGGGATCAATTCAGGATCCCAACAGACAAAGTAGATATCTCCATCCAAATCACTTCCTGTTAAATATGGAAGCCTGAAACAGCGTCGTTTAAGTAACATTAATACGGCGTCGTTTTAGGCATATTAACGTGGACGAATTCAGACCACAGGATGTACTCCAGATCTAACGGCCAGGACCAATCACGAAGTCAAACCATATATAAGCGCATGTTCATTCAGTTTTGGCAGAGTGATATACAGTCGTTAGGGTTCTCTGTGTCGGCTCTTTCTCTGTGTTAGGGTTGAGATTCTTCATACCAGTGTGAGATTAAATCAGTCGAGTGATTAGGGGTTTTAATCATTCAGGTGAGAGTGTTGTTCTCTCGGGTTAGGGATATTCAGAGAGTATCTTGTAATGCTGGTTGCTGTTGTAATCCGGTAGATCTGGTGAGTGTTGAATCTGTGTAATCTTGACTGTTTTTGGAAATCGAAGTGCAGCGAGCTCATACCGTTCTTGAGCTCAACGTGGATATAGCTTATCCATAAAAGGATAAGTGAACCACGATAAATCGTGGCTTGTCTATGTGTTTGATTTTGTGGTGTTTTCTTGTTTCTTGGTGTGATTGTTTTGTGTTGATAGATCAGTATTAAGTTTTCGGCTATAACAGTGGTATTAAAGCCATTTCTTGAAAGTGAAGTTCGTGTTTTACAAAATTAGGGTTTCGTAAAATTAGGGTTCTTCTGAGAAATTGAGGGTTTTTTTTCAAATTAATTCCTGTGAGTCTTCAATTAAGTCCTAGAGAGTCAATCTTGATCGAGTGTGAGGGTATATCGACTGGAAGACCAGTGACCGCCTTAAAAAACTGCATAGCAGTAATTGGCAACCTCTGGTGTAACAACGCCTCGTACGCCTCAGACTCACCTTCTCTGTCATTGTTTCGGTATAAGAAGTTCTTTTACGAAATTAGGGTTTTGTGAATTTGGGAATTTTTTGTTAAAGGAACAGAAATTAGGGTTTCACAAAATTAGGGTTTCGAAAATTGGGGTTTTGTGAATTGTTTACTTCTTTGAGTCTAGAATTGGTTCTAGAGAGTCAAATCTTGATAAAGTGTAAGGGTATATCGGCTGGAAGACCAGTGACCGCCTTAAAAACTGCATAGCAGTAATTGGCAACCTCTGGTGTAACAACGCCAAGTACTCCTTAGACTTTCCTTTCCCTGTCATTACAAGAAAATGAGCACCACCCGAATGGAGATCTCCCAATACGATGGGAAGATCGACTTTGGGAGTTGGAAAAAGAAGATGAAGGCTCTTCTCTCACATAACAAAGTTGCAATTGCACTGGAAAATGATCCCAAGAAATGGTCAGAGGAGAAACTGGAGAAGAAGGAAGAGATTGATGAAGAAGCTTATAACCTGATCGTGATGAATCTTTTTGACAGTGTCCCTCGGAAGGTAGATGGATTTGAAACTCCTCTTGGTTTATGGGGTAAATTAGAATCTCTATATGCTTTACAGTCTGCACCGAATTTGGCTTTCTTAAAGGGAGCCTTATTCTCTTATAAGATGGATAATTCGAAGTCCATAGAGGAAAACTTAGATGAATTCCTTAAGATGAATCTAATCTTAAAGGGCACAGACCAAGAACTAGGACAAACTAGTCTTGCCATGATATTATTAAATTCCCTAACTGAGGACTACAAAGTAGTCAAGAATGCCCTTCAGTACTCTGGTACTGTACCCAGTGTTGATTTGATAGTTGCGGGTCTTAAGGCCAGAGAATTAGAGCTTCAAACTCTTAAGAGGAACAATAACACTTTGTTTGTGAAGGGTAGAATAGAACCTGCTCAGTCTAGTAAAGGGTTTCAGCCAAGTCAGGGGGGTAAGAACAAGAAGAAATGGAAGGGGAACAACAAAACAAAAACAGAAACCAGGAAATGTTACCACTGTAATAAGACAGGCCACCTAAAGAAAAACTGTTTTGATTGGAAGAAAAAACAGAAACTAGGTAACACAGAGAGCAACCTAGCCACCACTAGTAACCAAATGGATGAACCAGAAGTCCTAACAGTGTCAATATCTGACACTGCAAAGGAATGGGTGTTAGATTCTGGTTGTACTTTCCATATGAGCCCCAACAGGAGTTGGTTCCAAGACTTTGAGGAGTCTGATCATGAGACTGTGTACATGGGGAACAACCAAGCATGTAAGGTTAAGGGGATTGGCTGCATTACCCTTAGGTTAAATGGGGGAAAACTAATAAGGTTGACCAAAGTCAGATATATACCTGACTTAAAGAGAAACCTCATATCATTAGGCACCCTAGATGAAGCAGGCTGCTGCTATAAGGCTAACAGTGGGTGGTTGAATGTATATAAAAATGAGAATCTGGTGTTGACAGTAGAAAAGAAAAATGGGCTATATGTACTTTGTGGTAGTTTTTATTCTGACTGCAACAGCACAACGCTTGGGTCTCAAAACTTATCAGTAACAGAAAGGTGGCACTTAAGATTAGGCCATATGAGTCAGAAGGGAATGGATGTACTGAACAGGCTAGGACAATTTGGGAAAGACACTGTTACAAGTCTAGAATTCTGTGAAAGTTGTGTACTTGGTAAACAGCACAGAAATAGTTTTCCCAAGGGAGTTCACCTAGCAAACAACTGTTTGGATTACCTACATTCTGATCTATGGGGGCCAGAAAAGGTTAAATCTCATGGTGGAAACAGCTATTTCCTCTCTATAGTAGATGACTACAGCAAGAAGGTCTGGGTTTTCTTACTTAGGTCAAAAGATCAAGCCCTAGCAAAGTTTAAAGACTGGAAAACCCTTGTTGAAAACCAATCTGGCAGAACGGTGAAAGCCCTTAGGACTGACAATGGGCTTGAGTTTTGTAATCTAGAGTTTGATAAGTTTTGTAGTGAACAGGGGATCCTGAGACATAGGACAGTGAGGAATACCCCTCAGCAAAATGGGGTGGCTGAGAGGATGAACAGAACACTGCTAGACAAAGTAAGATACCTCCTGATCACCTCAAACCTACCAAAAACCTTCTGGGGAGAAGCACTCTCCACAGTTGCCTACTTAGTGAATAGGAGTCCTTCCACAGCACTAAGCCTTATTAGTCCAGAAGAAAGATGGTCTGGGAGAAGACCAGAACTAGGGCACCTAAGAGTGTTTGGATGTGCTGCATATGCTCACACAGTGGGGGGAAAACTGGAGCCAAGATCAACCAGTGTGTGTTCCTTGGATATCCTGAGGGCACAAAGGGATACAGGCTGTGGGACAGAGAGTCACCAGGGGTTAGGATCTTAGTAAGCAGGGATGCTGTTAATGAGGGAGTATTCCCATGCAAAGGCACTAACCCTGATGAAGGAAAAATCAAAAGCACAGAAGAAGCTACTAGACAGACCAATACCACACAGATTGAGGTGGAGCACACAACCCATCAAGTAAACCCACCTCAAGCACAAGCTCAAACTACCTTGTAGCCTGAAAGTGAAATTGCACCTGAGGAACCTGACCAAGCTGAAGATGAGGAAGCAGAAGAGTTCCCAGAACCACAGCAAAATGAACTGACTAACTACCAATTGGCCAGAGACAGAATATTAAACGAAAACAAAATAAAATTTAACAAAGAATTAATTCTTAAAAAGGAAAGCAAATGAAACACAGAAATTCAATTTTAACAAAAAGGGTAGGGTTTGACTTCGTTGGATTATTTAGGGTTAAACTAAGAGTTACACTATTTTCACATCACGTGCAATGGTGTAAATCGGATTCACTACTATGATAACATACCTCTCGGGCTATGTTTTCCTATTCATCCTTATTAACATTCCGCCACCCAACAAATTGAAGGTTAATAATTCTAAATCATGAAGCACAAGAATCCTAAATGATTTATTAATCTTGAATCTATTCTAGCATCCAATACTATAATGGTTATTACCATGAAGCTTAACATGAATTATTTCTCAATCTCATCAGTGTCATCATACAACAATTAATTTCAGAGTAACACACAACCAAAACTTATTCACATGGAAATAGCACAATACATACTCAAACCATTTCAAATCCAAACTACAATCAAAAACCTAACCCATAGAAGATTAGTTCATAGCTAAATAACAGAATAAAAACGGAAAATAAAAGTAAACAGAATAAACATAATGAAATTGAGATGAAAGAATAGAAATCTCCCCAAAAGATGAATCTCCAGTCAAATTCTGAACTTTCTCTCTAACAATCCGAAAAACTCAAGCTTTTCTCTAAGGAAAATCAAAAGACGGCTAAACCTAAAGCTAGGAGTCCCTTTGTAAAAAGTTCCTGTTTTCTTTATACCTAGTCCTAAAAACCCAGTCAAAACACGCACACCCGAAACTGTGCGTTTACAAAACTGAAAACTTTGACTTTCGCGCGGCGAAGAATGAAAAATCCCAATTCGATCTGCCAACTTCGCCGCGGCGAAGACAATTTCTTCGCCGGGGCGAAGCTCCTTCAAAAGTTCTGAAATTTACAGAACTGCCACTGCTTGCCTCTTCGTCCATTCTTCGATTTTCGACTCTCCACCTTGGAAACAGCTTCAGTGCGTTGTCCTACTCGGAACTCTCTTATCTTCTGAAATCCTTCAATTCTGAGTCAAAACTATCAAATTTTGTTCTTATTCGTCAAAGAGTCCATTTTAACCTGAAACACGAAAAGTAAAGAATTACGCACCAATTTAGGTAAAAATGCACTAGAAAGTACCTGAAATCCGACAAAAAGATCATATAAAAACTGATAATTTACGGATTATCAGGTATATGGCTGGAAAACAACCAGTGTGGATCACTCCCTATCTCTGGATCAGAAGCTTGGGGCTGAGACTGGTGTGACCTGA